TCCTAATAGAACTACTTCACATGCCCAGAATAAATCAAGCCGAGATGATTTTACAATGCATATGGAAAGGAAGCATCACAGCCATAAATGCGTGAAACAGTGGAGCACAGCCAATACTGAATTAATCAGGCTGCTAGAACATGAGCTTTGTAAAGAAACCACCCAAGAAACAGGACTGGCACTCTTCCGCACTATTTTAAACAAGGAGGATTTCATTGCACAAGGATAAGGAAACCCAACGAGCCAAGAAAGTTTCGGAAACCTTGGCATTCCATGTCTCAGAACCCAGTGTGAAGGGAAAAGGAGCCTGAAATGTCTGCATTAAGATCCAAAAACTGCCTTCATTTACAGAACTTTTTCAAATTGTAATTTATTATTTTAATTAAAGACAAACACCCCCCCCATCTTATTTACTTCAGATCAACACAAAGCTCTGAGAATCCCCCCACACCCATGTCAGACTGCTGAAATTCTGACCGAACAGCCATCACTTCAGTAGAACCTTTTTGGTATTCCTAACAGTTAATTTTAAAACAGTAAAAATGTACACTAACAGTCTTCATAAAGAAAAATCTTCTCACATCTTTCGACCAGCTTGCTTGATTATAACCTTTTGGGTGTTTCTTAAGCCTGAGAAGGAATTAGATGTCATACCATTTAAAATGATGTCATACCATTTAAAATGATGTCATACCATTTAAAATGACTGTGTCATAACAAAAATAAATATGGTGGAGATAGTTTAATATTTAAACAAATGTACTAGAGGGAGGGATTACAATATCTGTAAGTCATACACAATACAAACCATTTTCTAAGTGTACAACTGTGTTGAGTTAGCAAGATGTCTAATTTTTAACACAAACCTGTGTTTTGATTCTTTGAGAATTCTCCTTTTTCAGAGTAAGTGAAAGTCCCTCAGCGTTCTTATCTGCTCTATAAAATCAACTCAGTCTTTCAAATGCAAATAATGATAAATAGCAAGAAATGCAAATACTCTGAATTGATCCTGAGCTCTGTTTATAACAAAGAAATGCAACTATAATGAAAGATACACATAAGACTCTACAGTCTATTCATTCCTAAGTTTCTAAATTTTAAAATAGTATAGTACTGCAAGATTCACTGCTATAATTTTACAGATCTAAGCATATTTGTACAACACTTACTCCATACACAAATGTAAAAAAAGATGCATGTTTTTGCTGTTTAAAGGGCAAATAGTCCCTCTGAAATAATTAAAAATTCAGTATGTGGGCTGTTTAATTTGGCTGCTATATATAATATATTAAACATGCTATTTAATCAGTAATAAAAAATCCATATTTCAAAAAGGAATCTGGCACAGACCGTTTATTTTCAAAATTACAACTCGCTTGCTTCTGGTAAAAAAAGGTGGTTCCCCTGGCAGTTTTTTAGGGGGGTCAGAAGTTGTTGGGGTCACATCGCAACTGGCTTGCAGGAGGTGCCGAGGGAGGAGAAAACACAGATGGGAAACAAGGACAGTTAGAACCAGAAGCCAGTGAGATAATTCATTTATTTCAAAACCGTTTGGGCTATAGTGTAGAGCCTACACCCCCAGACGGTTTTCTGAATGAAGCCCTTTCACACAGAGATATGCTGCGCTATCACAAAAAAGGAAGACGTATACTTCCGAGATAGACAAAAAAAAATATATCAAAGGGCGATGGTATCAAAGTGCTCTGAATTAACTCCTTCCAAACTATGGTACCCTACTTTAATAGCAGGAAGTCATTTGATGGAGCTCCTGACGCAATCTTTACCATAAACCGTTCCAGAAAATTCTAATGTATAAAGAAGAAAAAAAAACCCTCAAGAGTCCACGTTGACAAATTCTTTAACAAGCTGTGGTTAAAGGGAAGCTGGTTTCACTCTGACTCACCCCTTTTCAAACAGTTTACTGGAAATAAAAGGGAGGGAGGGAGGGGGGGAGTTTTCAGAGAAGTCATGTGACCCGCCTGGGCAAACCACATCCCAGTGAGGTTTCACTGGAGTAGGACAGCACAGTCAGGCAAACGCCCCGAGCAGATGGTTCTTATTCAGGTTACAGGAGAAATGATCCTGGGAGTTGGCATTCAAGATTTCACAGAGAGTTAACCCTTTACGCTCCTCCACTGTAACATTTTCAAAGCAACGTCCCGTCTGTCAGCAGCTGTAATCTTTGGATAGGACTGCAATAACTTTTTTTCCCCCCTCCGAAACAGATTTTAACACAAACTTAACTGCTTAAAAAGCGGTATATTTTAATGCTAATTTTGAGAGAACCCATCACATCTGAAGGCTCTGGGGTTTGATGCAACCACAGAATTTCAAACAACTTGACACCATCTTTATTTCGTAGCGACACTGAGGAAAATGTACACTTGAAGTAGTGTACTAAGACAATTCTGCTGAAATAAAATCATCGACCCAGTGTTCAGCTCACAATGTGAGTGATGTCTTCTTCCGAAGGCCCAGGGATACTGCCATCTTTTACTACCCTTTATCTTCATTACGTCTGAGGCTTTCGCCTGGGTACCTCCACCAGGCATTTGTGCCTCAGTGTGTAACTTTGACAGTGAGGGCTGATACAGCACATAACAGGACCGCAGGCTTGATATCGAGCACTTGCACAGCTTTGTACAACTGGTGGTGCTTGTGCAGCAGGAAAATTAAGAGAATCTTTTGGATCTAAATACAGCTACACATTCACCATTCTCTGCCTTACTTTCTTAGACAAAAGCAAACGCAGGATGGTGGCTACTGTAATCACAAGCACAGGCAATAGGATGAATAACACGAGCAGTTCGTGCCTGCAAGCGATGTCCAAAGTTTCGGAGCTTCCAGAGCTAAAGGAAAAAAGTTGATCAATTTAACAGGTGGGAAATGGGTTTTAAAAAATCCACATTCTCCATTCCCCACCTGATACATCAGAAACGTCGGCCACTCTTCCTGCATAACTAGAGAGCCCTGATCAAGGCATTTTTTCCGCACCATCTAGAAGAACAGCTTCTAGAGTATTTCCAGTCAGTGGCTGCTGCAAAACAGAAGAAGGAACCAGATTTTCCAAAAGGAAACCACATGGCGAAATTCAGCAAAGCCCCTGTGCCTCCACCGTTCTCGCAACGCGCTGTCCACCGAGGCGGGGGGAATAAAAAAAATATATATAATGCCTTCAAGACTATCGAGCTCGAATAACACAAGAAAAACCTGCAAGCAGAGACGTCCCAGCCTGAAGCAGGAGGCTTGCACATCCCGGCGCTTGAAACACAGCAATGACAGTTAGCTGCAGAAGCACCAGTGCTGAGGCACTGGGGGGAAAAAAAAACAGCTCCAAGAGGCAATGACAGGCTCAAACGCTAGTAGCTAGAACACAGAAAATGCGAAGTGCTGCAGAATGTTCACAGCAAACTTTCCCATGCAGAACATGAAGAATCAGGGGGGAAAAAAAAAACTATTTCCTACCGAAATTTCATAGCAATTAAGCGTTTAAGGTGTCATTAAAGAAGAAGAAAAAAGCTGGGAAATACGCAAACTCATCTCAGCTGACAGAATGCATCTCTTAAGATTTAGAGACCACAGAGAAACAAATCACTGCTTCTCTCTTTGCAAAGATTTTCTCCCAGGACCAGGGGTCTTTATACCGGGATCCGCTCAGATCAGTGATGTCAGCGCCATGGCAAAGATGTGAGAGGATTTCCGACATGTGTTCTGCAGCCAGGGGCGCAGGCAGTGCCAATCTTCAGGACGCCCTTCACATGAGTAATACCCTCTAGGTATGACAATTCACAAGTCGTGTGAGTAACCGTGGAAGTCACACGAAGGATTCGGTGCATTATACCAGCACCCACCCCCGCCAGAAACGGCGGAATAAAGCCACACTTCTGATCTAACTGATGCTCCCATCTCGAACTTTATATCAGGTGTGTTTTGCCGATTGGTGCTAAAGGCATCATTTGCTGTGATCTTATAACAAAAGCTCAAACTCAATTCGTCTAAAGCATCTCTTACTTTCTCCAAGGGAGCTTCAGCATATACCTCTCTTAGCAAAACAAGCAGAGAAAGAAATAATTTCATGTTTTAGTGGTAAATGCATCCACATATGGAACTGGATATGTGATCTAAAACCACCTCTTTATTCTTCTGATAGTGGGGGAAAAAAATGCTGTGAAAAATCCTCAGGCATGCAGCTCCGATACGGACGTTAAAGGAATGTTCAGATGATAACAGCATGTTTTTAATATTTGTTCAGAGCTTCTGCATTTTGAAATTTGTGAAAAAAAACAGACTGAAAAGGAAGAGGCATATTAACCTTTTTCCTCCCTTTTTGGTTGTGTTTTAGATTTTAAAATTAAGAACCCTGGGAAGAAAACTGCCTAGATCATTATAATCTGTGCGGTTTCACATGATGTAAACTCTCACGACAAAAAGAAAGCTCAGGCTTTGAAACCGATGCCCTGTAACTTGCACTTCCATCTGATTCATTTTTCCTGCTGATCACGAGCTGTATAGGCCATTTTGTAAAAAAGGTTTCAATTTAAAAACAGTTTCAACAGCAAGCGCTGCTAATTAAAGAGCTCACGCTCTCAAAATGCATCACAGAAAGCCACAGCTGTATTATTAAAATGCATTTTTGTCTTAATGATCATCATTATCTTTATTATTGGGTGTTGTAGTAACAGTAGTGGGACTAACAAAGTGCGAGGGAATGTCACTAGTATGCTTTACACTGTGCCGAAGGAAATTCATTCCGCCAAACAAGTTTCTCTCCGATTACACAAGCGTACCCTAAAAAACGGACAACCACTCATGACGCATTCGTCAGGATCTTGAAGGTGGCTTGAAGCACAGCATTGCAACACTGAAGAGTGAGGCCACTCCTTCCCACCCGTGGAGAAACTTGTGGCAGCAGGAGGAACAGGAGGGCTGACAGGAGGAGCCGATGGGCGGATGAAAGGGGAGAGGGGAACGGGGACCTGAAGGGGCAAGGAGGCCCTCACCTGAGCAGTCTGGGCGTGTTCCAGCATCTCCTCGAATTCCTCGTAGTCCTCATCATCGGGGTCGGCACCGGAGAGCCGCGCGGCCCGCGCCATGAAGTAGGGGGGCAGCTCGCCGATGGCTGTGCCGGCGCCCTGCAACAGCACAGACACAGGCAGGTTGAGAGGGCGACCCTCTGCAAGCCGGCTCCACATCGCCCCCTACTGGGAGCCATTCTTGCCTGCAACGCGCGTCACCTCCTACCCTGCTTTCAGATTCTGAGTCACTTACTGCAGAAGAGGGTTTTTTCTTTAATTCACAGCTGTTCCACACAAGCACGTGCACATTGTAAATGTGTTTCTGTACAATTCCTATTACCTGTGCTGATTAACGGGCACAAAAGGCGTGGCCTGTCATAAATTAACCAGACACGCCCCGGATAATTATCAAAGCACCCCCTGCTTTATCAAGCATCTTGACACATCTATCTGCCCTTTGTGAGAGCTCCATGTGAGCTCAATGACCAGTTCAAGTGGCTCAAAGGATTAGATGTTACCATGGCAGAAAACTGATCAATTATTTAATTCTCTCCTGGTAGTAAACAGAAACTGTCAGAGGCACTGTTGCAACGATGAGACATTATGGAAACCACTAGTAAACAAACAGAAGTGCTACTGCAAACAAGTTCTCATTACCAAGCTTAAGTTTTTCAGTCCTATTAAAAAGGAAAAGGGAAGGAACGCAGCTGGTTGCCTGATGTGGCTGGGATTGAGCTCGTGAAAATTATTCGCACCAGTTGAGTAAATAAAAAATTGTGTTCGTCCACAGCTCCTGAGTGGCCCAACCAGTAAAGGCGTTCCCTCAGAAAGCAAGTCGAGACCTAAAAATCCGCACATCGTCAGATCGAGCCAGGCCAACGCCATTGGCCAACTGTGACTGGGGTTTTCCAAGTGGCACTGATTAGCTGGCTGAGTGCACAGCAGGCTGGGTACATAACAACATCCCCTGCGCATTGCCTGGTGTCTGTGACCTTGCAGTGCCCTCCTGTCAGAGCTCAACCTCCCTTAGGTCACAGAGGGGGCTGCAGTGTGCAACGTCAGTGCTGCCGGGCAGCGTGAAGCCCTGCTTCTCTTGAGCCGTAGCAGGGGTCGCAGAGGTGAGCCAAGGTGGTCAGCCACTGCAAATTAGGAAGGTACGTGGAGGAAGGTGGGTGGCATGGCGGCACAGTGGTTCGCAGTGGTACTTCACCGCGCTGGGGCCCCAGGTTCAACTCCAGGCTGGCCTCTGGGAAAACTGGTCCTGGTGCGAGTGCGTGTGTGCCTATGTGTGTCCTGGGAAGGACTGCTGCCCAGCCCAGGGAATATCCAGCCTTGCGCCCTCTGCTTGCCTCCTGCCTCTCCCCTGAGATCCCAAACTAGATGAAGCATTTAGAAAACGGATGGATAAAGGAAGATCCCAAGTTCATACATAAATATTCAAAAAGGGAAACAGAATTGTGGACTACAGTTTGGACATCCCTTCGAGAATACCATGTTTGGCATTATTTTATGTGAGCCCTTTATCATTTCTAAGTGACTTAATGGTGCATTATTTTTCATAACACTTCTTTTTTAAAAAGAGGCTGAAGCAAAAGATCAGAAATCAAGTAACTTTCTTGTGCATCACACGTTGAAAATAGACATACAGGAAAAAAATTTAAAATCTCCTGCATTTTTCACTATGTGGCTTAACCAATGCCCCAAAACTTTGAATATAAAGGAAGCTGACTAGACAAGGGCACAGGCAGATCTGGGAGACTAAAACTAATGTCAAAATTAGTACAGTATGTAAATGATCATAACCCGAAAAAGACCTAGCTCTCGAGACAAATGGTTACAAAATGACAGTTTAATCTAGAAAATGTAATGAAATAATTCAACTGTGAAACACACTTAGAGCTAAGCAAAGCTTATTCACCATCAACAACATTGTGATCAACATTCAGAGTATTTAAACACACAAAAAGCCTAAAAACAGATAAAACACAGATGAAGATGAAGGTGCAAATTCTTACGTTTTATAAAACAAAATACAGCTTCTTCCTGTGATTTATTTCAAAAGCAACCAAAAACAAACACCATTAAACAATGCATTGTTGCTAAATGCTGTAAGGGTGCGTTTTAGGCACGAAAAGTGGGGGAAACATAATCTCAACTTCCGCTTCTCCATCATCACTCAGAGCTTTGATGAAACCCGGCAATTTGCTCATAAAGCAGTTGTGGTCTTAATCTTGAGGGCAGCTGTTCCATTCATTAGCAGGGGGGTGGAGGGGATTTCAAACGCACAACCACCTGCCCTCTGTACTCAAATAGCTGTTTCTTCCTATGAGGGTTGACTGGGTGCCACATTCACACTCTGCCCCCGACAGATGAGAGCATCTCTCTGCAGGACCCTTCGGGCTGAAGGGCTGCCAAGTTTCGCCAGGCGCTTAAAGAAATCCGGAGGAAAAAAAAATAGGTGTGAAATGTGGTCTTTTGGTCTTCCTCGCAGTCTCATAATTAGGAAAAAAGCCGCCTGAAATTGTTTACAACATGATATCTGCGGCTTCCCTAACGTGCCCAACCCACCCCTTTGTGAGACTGGCAAGGTGTGCCAAGGCAATATGTTCGTGTCTAATGGGAGTTCCAACTTGGCACAGACAGGCTGCTGCTTGGCACTTTCTCACTGCCCAGCTCGGGAAGACGAGGTGTCGATTTGCCTTGGCTAGCCCCTACTGCAGTACCGGCGGGCCTTGAGGAACACCTGCTAGCTATCGGCAGAGACCTCTGAGCAATGCTCACCTGCTGCGTTGGCATGTGAAGTATATACAGGTATAGTACGAGAAAACGGGTGGGAAATGGGGATAAAACATATGACACTGGACACAGAATGCGATGAATTCTGAGAAGGGAACACTCCTCAGTAACTTTGCGAACAAAAGTCTGGGTAATGTCACAAGAATCAAGAAGCCCTAGCCGAGGAACTCAATGTAATAATTTGTACAGGACACTGTCCAACAAAAAGACGATAAAACAGGCAAACAGAACTCCTTCGTGGCCTGGCCAATTTTCCACATATGAATCGCATTAAGTAAGCATGTGCCTTTCTCCCTCTCAGTAACAGTTCCTCAGAGAGTATCAGAGAAGGGCCAGCTCTAGGGACACTCCAATACAGGTGCGGAGCAAGGAGAAAGGGGTTTCCATCCTGCACGCAGATATTGTAAAATATTGCATCATCCACAGCAGGGAGCGACATGTTGGTACCTGGTATTGTTAAATCCACAGACTAACGAACACTACCAGCATTTCCTGTGTACTCTGTTTACTTGCATTCACTTGAAAGTGGGTGTTGGTTTGCTTATGCACATGAACATCAGTACGGTACTGAGTCAGCCCACAGCGTGACCTTTATAACTCCAGCACCGCTTTCCCATTAACAGTAATTTCAAGAGAATTTTGCAAATTTTGAGATAAAACAAAAAAGACTTCTCCTTTCCCAAACAAAAAGGAAGGTCACAAGACTGAACTACCTCCTTTGCAAAGAACTTTATTGGAAGTCAGTGACCCAGAGCTAGCAAATACACTACAGCTCTTTCTTAGTAGTACGTGGAAATGCATGATTCTTCTGGTAACAGGGCTGCTGCATCCATACATATACGCGAGATACATAACATATAAGCATATACTGCCATTTTATGGCTCACTAATTTACAGGGGAGCAGTAATGGGTTAAAATAATCTCCTGACTTAAAGTGATATCCCTGGGCCAGTTTCATTATGCAAGATGTTGCCATGGTGTGCAAGTAAATACAGTATAATTTGTTTTCCAGCCTTCGAAGAACAAGCTAGCAAAAAGCAACAAAGAGCTTTTGTTTACACCATTCAATATCTATTGGAAATAATGCCAATTGCGTATGGATATGTGACACATGGGTTTAGAATAACCTTTTGCGAAATGCGACTTGATTGTTACACCTTCAAAAAAAAAAAATCGCTTACACCACGTCTAACAGTGTGCAATTATCTCAGCCTTGCTAGACTACAAAAAGGGTGAACTAATAAGCCGTTTAAAAGAGGGTCTCAGGTCCATCAGCTGCACCATCTTGGGTAAAAAATAAAGCACAAGCAGTTCATTTAGGTGTTAAGAAAAAAAATCATTAAAAAAGGGTTTGTGTCACTATATCAGGAGGCACTGCAATGCACATGGCCAGCCCAGTACAAGACTACAGCTTGTCCCAGGCATATTCCTGGGTGTTTCTCGAAAAGAGTACGGGTATTTGGCTGGGGTCCCAGCCAAATTTTCCCCTGACTTTCACCAATCATGGCCCCCCCTAATAATCCCCATCTCTGAACTGGCTTCATGACTCTGCTCTCCTCCCCACTGAGAGCTGGTGTGTGGGGTGTGTACTGGCGCACTTTGGCTGCCATCGCATCATCCAGGTGGGCCTGCACATTGGTGGTGGTGGTGGAGGGGATCCCCATTACCTGTACAGCGCTTTGAGTGGAGTGTCCAGAAAAGCGCCATGTAAGGAATAATCATTTAAGAAGACACTAGCAATGAGGTGCCGCTGTCAGGATGGGACATCCCGCAAACTGCTGCATCAGGCCCTTACCCACATGCAGGCCTCCAGTCGGACCTTCGAGATGATCGTCCAGAGAGAGATGGTCCCTTCCGCCCCCTCCTCATCGGGGCAGATGATCTTGTCGGGATACGGGGGCTCAGGGAAATTGATGGAGCCGCACTCGTAAGCCGCCAGGGTGACTGAAGCTATATGCGGGCCCTGAAAACAAAGCAGTTTTATACGGATCAGTTCATTGTTATATTTATAAGAAACACCACGCGTCAGTGAGAAATAACATATATACTTGCACACATAAAATTGCGTGCGTGTGTGTGTGTGTATATAGCACAAACCACAGAGGCACTGCATGAAAGCCATTTTTCAGATAACAGCATGCTTATGATAACTTCACTGTGGTAAAAAAAAAAATCAACATATGGTAAACATGAAAGAAAGAGATTAAACTCTGGAGGTGTGTCCTTCCGCAACGTGTTGACAAAATGCTGAATTGGGCTGCAAATCAAACTTGCAAGTTCAGATAAAATTGGTCTGGAAACGCAGCTCAGGTTTCTGTAATGGCAGGAGGTGGTGCAGCTTCCCCTTGGTGACTGTCTGCACAGATCTTCTTAGAAGACTATTTTAAATTTAGGAAACATTTTCAGAATTATTGGAAAGGAGTACGAGTCACATTGTTAAAAAAAGACTAAAGTGCTTGCTGTCGTTTCTAAACTACTGTATTGATCAACCACTATTGAAGTTACTCTTCACATGTGTTTAAATAAGGAGAATCTGCCAGTGAAGTTGAAGAAAAGTATGCAAAACTTTGTCTTAATAATACCACCTAGCCTCTGCAGTTGAAGAGAACTTAACTATACATTTACAGAACCGAGAATAACACCTGCTTTCTGTAACTCTCCCAGAGTATCAGATACAGTGCTGTATGCATTCACTGCAGTCACCCAAATTTTTTTGTTGTCCGTCCTGAGAAGGTGTGGGTTTTGTGATCACAATAAAGCCTTAGGCTGCCATTAAGGTTTCCCCATCCCAAGCTCCTCCTAGCTGTGAGCACTTTAGTTTAATTACTTTTCAAAAAGGACTACAAGTCTGGCCAGGGTTCTGCACAATTAGGGAAAGGAAGCTCTTAATTAGCCGCCTTGTACAGCTTTTGAGGTGTACTTATTAACAATCCCAGCCCTCTAATGGAAACGCAAGTAACAAATCTTCGCTTTGACGTGTACAGATTATGAGCGTCATGCCTATGAAACACTTTCCACCAACAAGCAAGTTAAGGCTTTTACCCTCGCAAAGTAAAAGATGAATAAGCAACTGTCTTAAGTGCTTTCAGGTGTGTCCTATCACAACCAAAACGGGGGGAAAAAAAAAATCAACATAATATTTGTCTTTCATATTCTCCATGGTACTAGCAGGTGCACAGGCAAGGTTAAAACGACTTTCCTTTGTTCGTGGACTCAAAAGTTTAGAAGTTTTTCATTTTTCATTTGCTTAACTTCAAAAACAAATAGGCGGATATGCACTTTGAAGTGCAGCAAGTTCGGCAAATCTGGCTCCAGGAATGTCTTCAGCACGCCAGTCCCAACACGCTCACGAGCACCAAGGATGAGCCCTTCAGAATTCCAAAGCCGAGCCACATTCCAGACCACACAGCTCAGGCGGCATCCCAGCGCGACTCCCAGCCCCTCGCAGAGGGCACTGCGCACACCCAGCACGGCAACACAGACCGCTTTTGTTTAGGCTAAAAACATGAAATGAAATCTACAGAAAGGGGTGCTTGGAAATGCAAAGGTTTGAACGGATCGCAAAGCCTCCACCGGGTGAAGACGTTCATTACTGCACTCTGGAAGCACAAAAGCTTCATTGCTGGGGGTGCTGCTGAGCTCCGACAGAAGAGGCGCTCACTCGGAGCGCAGGGTTATGGCCTGGACACGGCTGGCTGGGCCTTGGCTCATGTCCCTGAGCAGCTGACTGGGACTCCTCAAGCAGTGCCACCAGGGTGTGGTGGACGTTAGCCAGCAAGAACTCAGATCTCCTGTGACCTGTTAGGTGCCGGGCAGGCTTGCATGATGTCGGTGCGGGATGCTGGGCTCCAATCGGTGCTAACTCTCCTGCAAGCGCACGCAACGCTCCCTACGTGTGAAGAGGATGAATGGCTTCCACAGCGGTCCACAGGGTGGAGCACATCTTTCTTCCCAAGAATCCCACTGTACATACTGAGCATACGGCAAATAAACTCCTCTCGCTCTTCTCTCTGGACAGTACAGGAGCTGTAGCTGCCCGTCAAGTCTTAGAAAGCAACAGACCACTGGATAAGTACGTCATTAAAAAAAGTGAAAGTGCAAATCCAATTAAAAAAAAACATCTTAGCAGGTGTATAAAGGGAATCTCTCATCACCTGCTCAAAACCCTCAGAGGTCTTGACAAAGTCAAGGCGATGGACATCTCCCTAATCAAAACTCAACACTGAAACAAAAAAAACAGCACAAGTGGAAACTACAGGGGAAAACATTTAAAACTCAGAACAGAAGGACTTTATTCTCACAAACAAAAAGCCTGGAACAGAGTGCTTAGCCATGTTGTTGAGACTGACACGATCTCATCCAAACGTTAGCTGGGGGAAGACAATGTGATCAATAAGCTACGAGCAACCAATGAGCTAGATTAGTCAAATCTTCTCCTCGCCTGTAACAAAATAAATGTTTTTTAATGAAACAAGGCTAACAAGGGTCAAATCCTAGATTAATCTAAACATAAGGCCACTTCAGGTTTTATTACTAATGCTTAGGTACTTACTCCACCCGTAAATCTTAACGGTTGTAGTAATCTGACAAAGCTCTTGCGCTGGTGTCCCAATTAACTGGCAATAATTGGTGGGATTTAATCAAGACTTAAATAATGTGTAGGACCACATCAGAAAAGGGTAAAAAGGTTTACAGGTTCACTTTGGAGATCTAGCTGTACTCGGAGGCATTAGCATTTATCTCATAGTTCAGCCTGTGCAGATGGAATGTTCACATGGAACAGTGCAGCTTCTTGTCATGGTGCAAAGAATCATGGGTCATTCTTAATATGTGTCTGCTGTACACTGATTACTATATTAATGTTACAACAGTATAATTTTACTGTATAAGAGTTATAAAGCTCTAATGAGCAGCCCATTTTAAATGTCTTTGTTGTTAGGAAATCAGAAACCACAACAGTCTCAGCAATGCGTATCAACTTAATGTTGAAAATGTTCTGCATTTTTGGAGTTATCACAACATCAGTTGTCAGAATAGCAACCCGAATGATGCACAAATTAGTCAGCTCGCTTTGAAGCTTATTTCCTAAAACACACCTAGAATTTGAACACTGTGTAGGTGTGCACAAGGATCTAGCCCTAAAGCATGTGCCTGGATGGTCCTAATTGCATGCTGCAACATTCTCTGCATTCCAAAGTTTAGAAGCTGTGCTGTTTATCTGTAACCACTTTCATCAACGTGACAGTCAAGTAATAAGCGGGTGTCGACACTGATATGTGGATTCCGTCACAAAAGGGTTCAACCACAGCAAATGGCACTCTGGGTTCGGCACCAGGGCAACCAATATTGTAGATCAGCACCTAGTAAAGCAGAAAGATTTTAAGGTTGATACCACCCCAGATTTTTATTTTGTCATACTGCTAATCAGAAGACATCCTAGCATGTTGTGGGAAAAAAAAAATAACACCAGTCCAAGACTGTTGCAAAGGCTAACATAACGGGAAGTCTCTCCAGGGATGTAATCAAAAAAAAGGAAGCTGAAGCATGAAAAGAGTTCATTTCTATAAGATCCCCTTCATGCATTACGAGGAACTTGGCAAAAATGAAAAATACTTAGATATAAAATCACTGAATGTATGAGGTCTTCCTAGCATGCTAATATCGGTGCATCAAGCCCACAGACGTCTTGGCCTTCCCTGTTGGTACTCATACCTAGCCTTAACAGGAGAGCAAAATTAAGCACCACTTGAAATGCCTTTAGTGTTATAGAATACCTTACATTCCAGCTCTTCTTTATTAGTAAGCCTGTAGCAGGGCCACCCCTGTCCCTCATGATGCAGTCCATAATGATCTCATTAAATCCTAAAGAACTGACTACATGGAATTCTATTGATGGCTTACAGCTGAATCATGACACGAGTTCAAGGACAGTACATTAATAGGTTGGCTATAAAGTAAAATGCTGCTGCTGCTTTTTAGCTCTTTAAGAAGCAAAAGAGGCACTAAATCCGCATTATACAGCTAATGACCCAGAAAATCACAACCCCAACCTGTCCCCCCAAAAAACAATGCCTTTCTCTGTGGGAGGAGTACAGTTCTGTGTCTGAAAGGAATTAGAAATACTTCTTGACTGAGAACATGGCATCAGACCTCCTGCAAGTTGAGGAATGTCCACAACTTTTTACCAGTTTAGTCATTCTGGGGGGTGAGGCGTAAGTAAGCATTTCCACAAGGGGAAATGTTTAACCTCCCTGTCGTTCGTGGTGGAAAATCAGTGAATTATGTCAGCAGCTGTAAACCCCATAAACCAATATAATTCCACTTTGACAATAGCTGTCTGGATTCATATATTTGTCTGAAGTTTTATCAATTATATAATGGAAATTAAAAATAGCTTGCATTTTTTGTGGTAGCCCACAAAATCTGCCCTGAAACACTAAAACACACACAGAAAAGTGATCAGCAACACTGTTTATTCTTGGGATGCTCAGTAGTACGCCATGCTTTCCCAAGACGTGGAAACGATGGCACGTCCGTCTTCGTTAGATGCGTTTTCCACTGCCCAGAAGGCACAAGAATGAAAGAATCCTTGTAACCCCCAAAAAAAAGCACAAAAGGAAACTTGACATCATTCGTTTGGTCTTGGCAACCCGTTTAAAAGTCACTTTCATCCATCTGTTTTTATTTCATCTCAGATGAAGAAACTCTCATATCTGTTCCCAAGAGTGCGGGAGAGAGAATTCTTAAAAACCTTGCAGAAGTCTGATCACGCTAGACAAACATGTATCAGGTTCAAGACCTACAAACAGCTGTTAAGTTTTTCCTCAGCATCACACTGCTGATGAAGAAAGATATAGACCTTCTCTCAGCATTAACAGGTGGTAGGGTTCAATATTTTTATTGTCATTTACATTTCATCTGCCAAGATTTGACCCTACAGCAAGGAAAGAACATAAGAATATA